AAAAAAAAAATCTTACTGACATTGAACTCTTGATTGATAGGGTATACAGAATAGAATATAATAAAATATAAATTCAGATTTCTGAAACTCTAGTTAAATTGCTACTAAGTGGCTCAAACATTTAATGCTGCTAACATGATGCTAACTAACAATTTATTTTCATCCGAGTCTAAGAAACCCCAAACCTTATTGAAATTCAACTAATCTTTCCACTTCATGAAATTTTGTTGAAGGCAAAATTGCCAAAATTACCTCTGCCTTACAGCACCCTACATGTTTCTTCCAAGTGCTTTGCAGAGGTCTGGGCTGATGAACGCAGGACCCGAGAAGCCTGTTTGGGCATTTGCAATGCTGCTTCTTGGCACCGCCCTACTGGCTTCACCCTTCGGTGGTAAGATGATGGCTCAGACTGCTGTGGCCCAAGCAAAGACGGCACCCGCAGGACCAGGACCATGGTGCATTAAGGACCTTCTAGACCTGGACGAGCTGTTCTCCATAGATAACCTAGATGTTTGGTTCTACTCCCTTTTGGGATCGATTGCCATCGGACTCAGTGGCATCTTCCCGCTCTTAGTGATACCCATTGAAGCTGGAACAACTTTGAAAACTGAGGGTAAGTCAAACTTATTCTTACATGCTTTTGTGATCTAGGTCTGTGTATGTAAACGGCCCATTAGAACAACTAATCTAGGATCAGGTTACACGCTAACCAGATCAGGTAGAGGTAGCATTGTGTTACAGTCAGAGCTGGTCCAGATATTCACAGCAGTGTCCTGGTGCAGACTAATGGGCATTGGGCAGGGATCAGTATTTTGTGTCTTTTCTTTGTTCATTCTATCAGAAGTGGAAAAATAATGAGTCTTTTCTGGCCCTGTGCAGGGCATCTATAGTTTCCAAGCAGAAAGGAAAAAATGAGATGGTCACACATCAGGCCTAGTGTGACAAATAGACATGTGTTTGTTATTAATACAAGCAAGAGAGAACCGGTTTGTAGATTGATTTAGGTCTTCACACATTTGTTTGGTTACTTTAAAGCAGAGCTCCTTTCACTCATGTTCTCTGTGGGATTTTTCCCTTTGCTGCTTATGCCTGGTTCCACATTT